GAAATTTAGAGGGCATATAGTATAGACTGGAAGATGAGCAAACTGATGAAAGTTTATTTCAAGGTTTTAGTGTAACACAACCGTGACAGTGTAAGTCATGCAATCATCAAAAAGTTATCACAAAATATAAATAAATAATACAAAATTTCCACGGGCTCGGACTTCGCAAAATCAAGGTTTACTATACTGATTCAAAGAGCTATGTGTCGTAGTATTGCAACGTACTGCTAAATGATCTTTTTACATGAATAAAACGAACTATCGACCTCAAAACATAGCTCCTCAACTGTGGCAGTCATTGTCGTCCACGGAAACAACATGCATGACAGCCGATTACGTGACCTGACAAGTTTCCATTTATCATGTGATAAATGATAAATTATCGCGCGATAATAATAAATATTATCGCACGATAATAATAAAAATTATCGCGCGATAATTTCCATTTATCGTGCGATAAATGATAAATTATCGCGCGATAATTAACAATGATTCCACGAGCGCGCGTTGGATATGAGATGATAGATAGCCAACGAAGCGCGTAGCGCTGAGTTGGCTATAATCATCTCATATCCAGCAAGAGCGAGTGGAATAATTGTTTTATTAAAAACGTTCAATTAAGTATAAAATTTTATTAAATTTTTAGCGCCCTTTTAATATTAAGCTGACACTTACGATGGCCATATTTGTAGATTATGGTATATTGGCTGATATACCATAATGGCTAAGCCAATAAAAAGTCTTGAATTGCATTATCCAATGATCTAGTTTTTAATAATAATAAATATTACCGCGCGATAATTTCCATTTATCGCGCGATAATCTATCATTTATTGCGCGGTAAAAAAAAGTGTCATGTCCCTTATGGACTACCGTACTTATGTTACTTATAGTAATAGTAATTATTCATGCTTTGCTTTTCAAAAGATTATCAATGAGAGTATAAGTTTAGAATTAATTAGAGATTAACCGTTAACTTTTACAATTATAGAATAAGGATTAGTTAGAGTTCACAATTAACTAAGAGTAGATAATATTTTTACCTGCAATGGGAACAAGGAAAAAGAAGGATTAATTACAGGTAGACTTATGTTAGAGTGCTTCATTGAATTTTAACTAGCATTTTTTAAAATTTTTGTCACAGATATAGACCAATGTTTTACAAACTCCCACAGCTGTGACGCCAGCGCTATTTACAGTAATAGTCAAGGGTTCCATAGCTGCGCATATAAAGCTAGGTATTCGGGGAATGGAAAAACTTGCGTTGGTAAGTAGTCTATTGACGCAAACGATAGTGAAATAAGCAGCACTTCTTAAGTTGTTCAACAAAGGACTGAAATGACATGCTCAGTTGTTTCTTGGATGCTTAAAACGTTTTATTTTTGTCATGTTATTCAGTGCAAATTCAAAACGAGTATAGATTAGCATGTTAAGTTGGTATTAGATTTACCAATTACCCTTATTCAGACAAGAGGTTCTCGAGGAAATAAGGACCAAGGTTAGGGGCTTTAACTGTCCTCTAAAAAGTACAAAACTCCTGAGGCTATGGCCACCAAACAAGAAAATAATCGTTTATATTATCTTGCCCCCAGATTGATCGCAGTTCCAATAAATTTCAATTAAAAAGTCTATATAGAAAAACTGGGGTTTTGCATACGATTTGTACCTTTCTTGCAACGTATTACGCAACGAATCACGTGACTTGAGATCAGAATCTCGCTCTTTTCGCGCTTCTTTGTTTTTTTTTTTTTGTTTTTTTTTTTTGTCTGGACAAAATTAAGCGATAACGAATCATTTTTAATTTCATGTTTCAGAAATGGTTGGTATATTTATTTCTGCACAAGTCTCTCTTGTCTGAACACACTTCTGTTCATTTTTCTAATTCTCAGTCGCCACCTGCTGATCCCAACAGCGCTTATTGCAAGGTACAGCCGAGCTAAAAACGTTTGTCCAATGCCAATTAATTTTTTCCCATAAAAAATGTCCTTTTCATTCTCGCCGTCAAAAGCAGGTTCCACAAGGGGTAGTGTTATTGTCCTTACTTTTGAATTGAACCGTAAGGAAACACATTGTTTTTCAGTAGGTCAGTGTAAAATTACCACAAGGAGTCTTCCTTTGAAAATCAGAAGAAAACAAACTAACAGACCTACAAAGAAACAAAGCATAAGGAGCACTATTCAAGTTCTCCCTACTTCGCAAAGTTAGGTCAATTTTGAAATGGGTTCGATCTGCTCTTTACGCAGGATGTCTCCTTCAATGAGAAGTACAACAGCACCCCGAATGTGTTTGTTTCTGCAAATCATTCAACCAGTGGTGGAAATCTGCAACCGATGCACAATGGGATAACAGCTTGGGTTGAGGTAGGGTCGACTACTAACATCCTAAAATTTTAATACTTCCCCTTGTTTCCCCTTCTTTTTTCCCCGGGAAATCTGCCCCCTAACTTTTAAACTAGAGTTTTAGCAGATGCTATTGGTATTTTTCTCTCTCGATTTGCTATTTGTTTGATTCGCTACCTCCACAATATGTAATGGAAATTGCCCTCTCATTCTACTGTATTTCATCCCTTTTCACATATATTTAATTGAATTTTACTCCTTTATTTTTAATGTTATCTCTTTCTTTTTTCTTTTATTTAGTTCATCAATGAGACAGGACTCAGAGTTTGTCTAAAGGAGTTTTACGAGATAAAGTATGACCCACTTTCAGTGTCGTACACTGTTTTTTCAGATGAGAATATCGTTGGACTTGTAAGTACAGAGGGACGTTTATCACAGCTGAGGGTATTTAATGTAAAATATATTATTTTGATAAGTACCTATGGTTTTAATTGACTACCTAAAGTATCCATGGATTTCATTGATTTTCGTTTCTTTTGCCCTTTTTATTCTTGTTTTGTTTTGTTTTTGTTTTGTTTTCTGCTTTGCTCTGTCTTTAGCGATAGGAAAATCGTACTACCGGTTTTTAGCCAAACAACGTATAACTATAGTATATGCAATATGTATCCATACGCTTGTTGACTTTCTTTCGTATTGTGCACTTTCATATAGATATATGCCAACCAGGGTGGAGTTATTTCGACGGCCGCAGGAATTTTACAGACGAGAGTATAGTGTAGTTGCCCGAATAAAATTGATAGAATTGGAGGAGGGTAATAACATGTAGGACTAAATATGGACTCTTCTAGAGATAATAACTGTCTCCACTCCTAATAAAATGATAATAAAAATGATAACACTCACTAAGAACGAATGTCGCAAGACGAAATAGGTTTGCAAACCCATGCGGCACTTTGTTCATCATTTTGGCTCTTACTTAAGTGACGTCTCTGTAGTTAGATGAAACTTGCCGCAACAATGTATCTTCAAGATGTAACTGTATTTACCCGAGATAAGAGTGATGAATCTCGCGTGTTTAAATCCACATGTTGTCCCCCACTACTGGTTTTCACCTGCTTTTTAATTTACTTCAATCATGGTGATGTGCGCACGTGATACACGACTCTTAATAGTGTCTCTTAGTTAGTGATCCATTGACTTTTTTTAATGAATTTCCGTTTAGGAACAAAAAGACCTAAGGGTAATGTAGCGTGGCTGCCAGAAAATCTAACGGTAAAGTACCAGAATCCTTCATGCTTTTCTTGTTTTTTGGTCAAAATATTTTGATCAAAATTTAATCACTGTGATGACGAATAATTGCGATGTCGAACATCGTTGTCGATAAGAGTGCAGAGCACGCTAAAATATTGTCAATTTGTGAAACTGTAAAAGAAAAAAAACTTACATTTGCCTCAGTAAGTTTGGTAAAAATACGCTATCGGGAAAATGCAGTACATGAAGCAAGAAAAACAATCAAAGAATTAAGACAAAATGATGAAACTCGTTTTCTGCTTCCCCAAAGGGAGCTGTACCAATGCTCTACTGACTATCCAACATACTGTCAATCAATATCTTGATATCCCAGAGTGCAAAGCGGTACGCCTATTCGCTATGGATTTCAGCAAGGCTTTTGATAGTGTAAAACACGATCTCCTCTCACACAAATTGAAGCAACTCCCCCTAAATCCTTTTATAGTTAACTGGTATCTAAGCTTTTTGGAAGACAGGCAGCAGAGAGTCATTAGAAATGGGTTTATTGGAAAATGGAAAAGTGTCAACAAAGGTACCACCCAAGGAAGTGTCAGCGGGCCGCACTTGTTCAATGTCTTTCTCAGTGATTTAGAGATACACTTGGACAATAAGAGCGTGCTGGTAAAATATGCAGATGATACAACCATTATCTCGCCTGTGATAGGTGATAATGACAATTCTATCGCACTGATTAATCAGTTTTCCCAGTGGTCTAGAAGTAATGGTATGTGTAGCAATCCATCTAAGTGCAAGGAAATCATTTTCCGCAAGAAAGGTTGTACAATAGAGTTTCCGAT